AGATTTAATAGTGTTATTAGTTTAGCCACTGAGACCTTTATCAGAAAAGATTAGCAGGTGGATGAGAGCTTTAATATTCTTGGCAGATCTATTTCCCCCCCAGTAATTGCCTTAAGATGGTTCTATTTCACTGTCTGGACTTTCTCTTCTTCCTCTTTTTATCTTTTAGCTTATTTCCTGAATGTTTTGCCACATTTTCCTTCCTCACACCAAGAAACAGCAGCTCAAGACTTGTGAGCACTGGGTAATGGGATACATCTGCCTAAAGGCTCATCCACAAACCCCTTTACCTCAGCAGCTCCATTCTTGTGGGGAAGGACTGAGGACAGGAAAGCAGGGCTTGACTGAAAAACACCTCAAGTGAGAAATTAAGAAAGGCAGAGACTCTGCAGCACCTGGGGCAGCAGCCTGCACACTCAGGGATGCTTTTGGTTGGAGGTGCTTGGCCAGCCACCAAGCAGCCACCTCTGGCAGGGGCAGGGGGAGGCCACTGCTCACTGCTCACTGCTCTGCAGATTGGCCCCAGAGCACCTGGCAGAGGGCTGGGGATGGGAAATGCCTGCCAGGTAATGAAATGGTTTAAGTTTGGTGATTTTATCCTACAGTGTACACAGCATTTTGTGCTCCTCAGTGCCATAAAACTGCACAGAGACAAGGGTAAGGCATGCAGGGACAAGTCGTTAATTCCTGAATCTTTCAGGTGCAGAAATACTTCATGTGTGTTTTTAAAAATAAATAATCCTTGGATAATTCACCCACCCCCCAGTGGGCAACATGAATCAGTTGCCTTAGAGTGCAATGAGTTAAGAAGGAAAAGGTTGAGAGTAGAAAACATTTAAAATCAAAGGTCACATTGCAGCTCCATGAGACTTCCCCTTCTCCCCATGGGGTGAGGATAATCACAAGGTAATCAGTGCCCCCTGCTCTGGCAGTCCTGAGCCAGCTCCTCACCACTGCACTCTGGGCATTGATTTCTTCTGGGGGTGTCTTGCAATCAGCAAGAGACACCAAACAGGAAAGCTCTGGTGCAGATTCCTCACTTGGAAAAAAGTTCTCTGCAAGTGCTGCATCCATCTTTTTTTGCTGAAATATTTGAAAATATTCCTTGGTTGTTTCAAGCGAAGGAAGGAAAAAATCCCTAGATCAGGGCAGGAGGAGCCTCCTTCAGGGTCTGGCAGGGGAGCCTGGGGGTGGCAGTCACGAAGCTGCACTGACTTTGCAGCTGTGTTGTGTCAGTTCTGACTCTCAGGGCTTTGCCTAAAGATGTTCAGCAGGCAGAGAAAGCAATTACTGCAGTCCCTGTGCCCCTGGGCTGACCTAACCAGTAGTCATTCATCCCCAGAAATTTTGGGAAGAGTCTTATATGATCCCTATACGTGCCAGGCAAGCAGTACCTTTCTGGAGGCTGAGTTTCCCAGAGGGCTCCACCAATCTCTTTTGTTGTACCTGCTCACAGCTGCCCTTTTATTTGCTCTTCTAGCAGCTGCCAGTGATTTATTTTCATGACAAATATAATAAAAAATGTAAACTGAGGTGCACTGTTTTTTCCTAGAAGATTCACAGTGATGCATCTCTGATTCCTTGCAAGGGCATCACAACACACTGGGAACCCAGGCAAGAAATGCAGTCCCCCTGTTCTTTCAGATCTTTCACGTCAGAAGAGCTCAGGTGTCGTTGTGTGTGGGATATGCTGCGGTGAAGGTTGTGCAGCAGAAATTATGCTGGGGCTGCTGGTGTTGTGGATAACTTGCCAGCCAGCTTCCATCCTATTTTGAATGCATCTGTAAGAATAATATATAAAATATCAGCAGGCAGGAGTTTCCCTTTGGAGGGCATTCTTTCTGGGATGTTGCAGCGAAAGTGCTGACCCCTTGAGAGGGCTGATGAGCATTAGAAGAGGGATGGATCTGTTGGTTCTGTTGTGTTGCACTGGCCTGGGCACCATGCACCATCCCCTGGGGCTCCTCAGCTCTTGCTCTGGAAGTGCCTGAGTGAGCATTTCTCAGCCTGTGCTGTATCAGCGTTAATGTGCCCTACCTCCAGGTGACTGTGCCTTGCAGAGTTTTACCAAAACTTTTATCAAATTATTCCAGCTCTGAAATCATCCTCTGCTCTTGCCTTGCTCTTTAATGTGGAAGGATTTTTCATAGGGATGTAAAAAGAAGGGTACTGAATAGATCAAACAATGCTCAGCCCAGCAGCCAGCTCCCAGTGATGGCTGTTAGCACATCCTGGGAAGGAGCAAGAGTGGGAATTACAGGTTACAGACCCAATGTACTCTAAGTCAGAAGTTTCATTATTGTTTTAAAGAGCTGCTGATGGCCTTTTCTGCCTTGAAGGGTCCTCTCCTCTTGGACACTTTTTATTGCTTTCAGCCCTCACCACTTCTCCTGCCTGTGAGCCCAGCAGCTGCCATGGTGTGAGAAGAGGTGCTGCTTGCCCTCACATATCCTGCACAATCCTTTCACTGCCTTCCCCTGAGTATTTTGTTATAAGGAACAGTGATTCATCAATCTCCATACTAAAGCTTCATAGCAGTAGCTATGATTGTATGTACCTCAATGATACCTGACACGAAAGATTGTCTCTTTTCCATCTCCCTGGTGGTTCCCAGAAAATAAACCTGTTGCATCTTTGAGGCAGTACTGACAGTACAAGAGTAAATCATGGAATGTGCCTGAGAGGGTTACTGAGCAGCAGCTGCTTCTAAATTCTTACCACAGCAAATGGATTCAAGTCCTGGAAAAGGCTGCCCAGGGCAGTGGTGGAGTCCCCATCCCTGGAGGGATTTAAAAGATTTGGCACTTGGGAATATGGTTTGGCAGTGCTGAGTTAATGGTTGGACTCAATGATCTTAGAGGTCTTTTCCAACTGAAAGGATTCAGTGATTCTAAGAAAGGCTGCTCTAAACATCCTATTTTGGTAATGTGGTAAAATGCCTGTATTGATTGAAACAGCAAAGAAGAGAAGAAAGACCCATGGGGGAAGAGTGGGACTGAGATGCATTAGCAGCATTGCTGTGGGAAAATATTGTCCTTGAGACACCTAAAATTCACGTTTCCAGTCTGCCTGGGCACATTTAGAGAGAAACACTTTTCCTCAACCACACACCGAGTACCAGACATTCTGCTGGGGCTCCTGTGAGGAAACCATCTGTGCTCAGCAGCCAGAGCTGTGTCTGCTCCCTGTTCCTCGAAGGACCAGGGGTCCCTTGAGCCCCTACCAAAGCACCTGCCATCTGAAATGAGGACCTTGTGTGGCCTGGAGAACACTCAGATGTCTTGTCAGCCCTAAATATAAAGAGATCTTTTATCAGACAGGAGAGGGAAGAAGCCACCTTCCCGAATGCTGAGGTTTCACCTCTCTGGGATCCAGGATGAGTCAGCCAGGCACTGCTGAGTTCCACAGACCTGTTCAGGTTAATAAAATCACTGCCAGAGCCCAGGCAGCTCAGAGGATGCTGTGTGGCTTCCACATTGACGTCACTGCTTCTCATTTACCCTTGGGTGAGAGTGACCGAAATCCATTACTACCTGGCAGCCACTGGGTAAAGCCTTGCAAAATAAATCAGCGTTCTGCACAGCAAACAGGTGTCTGCAGCACAAAAGGAGCCATTCAGATCAGCAGGGCACCAAGGAATTTTTCATCAGGGGAGTGAAGACGTGAATGGGTCATTAGAATGAGGACAATTCACAGGCAGAGAGTGATAACAGGGAAAAGCAGGGGGAGATTTCACTGTAGAGACAGTGGAGAAGTGGTTGGGGTCGGGGGGGGCAGAGAAGAAGCCACCACGGAGACAAGGAGGAGTTAAGTGAGAAATTCGGGTTTATTATAGGAAAACAGGGACACTGAACAAAACTGGAAAATACATTTAGAAGTGTGAAAGAGGAGATAACCTTTCCCAGTGGAAGTGACTTTTGGCACTGTGAATCCCAGTGGTCAGGAGTGCTGTGGGGCTGGAGGAAGGCACGGGCACCTGCATCAGGAGGGAAAGGCTCAGGTAAATTCAGGAGAACACAGTCCCTGGTATTCCTGCCTCCATGGAGGGTACAGAGACTTCCAGGCAGGACCCAGGCATCGGCTCATGAATTCAGAGACAAGAATTCTCCTCTGGGGTATTTTAAAATACGGATATCTTGCATCTTTGACTGCATCACTTGATCCTGTCCATTTTCAGAGCCAGGCCACCACAGGGAATGGAGCTGGTCTGGCACCTCCATGGTCCTTTCATTGTAGTTTATTCAGGGCAGGCTTAAATATACAGGTCAGGGTAATGTAGGGGTTACAATATTGTGTTAACATTTGGTCTGGGGATGAAGAACATCTTTTTACAGACATTCAGAGTGCATTTAGAATGAGCTTTTGATGCTCCTCAGTCTGCCACATTTTGCCAGCCCTAAAAATATGCTTTGAAAGAGAAAATAAAACCTCTACAGGCTTTTCTCCACAGCTACTAAAAGATCAGGCTGTAGGTACACTCCTATATCACCTGCAAAAATGCAGATGTTCTCATCTCTAGCACACATAAAAGCCATAAATCTGGGTAGTTGTAATGTCTTGTTCGTTCATATAAAGAGATACAAATTGTGGATGGCAGTGCCTGGTAAGGAGAAATCTTTCACTTCCCAGGCAGATCATTGTTAACATTAAATGCTATTGAACTACCATTACAAGGGTTAGGTTGAATGTCTATTTTCTTGTCTCTATCTAGCAGGATATTATATAGAACTTGGATTTCCTTAAACATCCTTCCCTTTTCAGTACTACTACTACTACTAATAATAATAATAATAATAGTAATAATAATAGTAATAATAATAAAAGCTTCCAGTCATCAGAAGCCTGAGTTCCTTTAAATTAAAAATTCTCTTGCAGGGACACTGCTGTGTTCAGTCTGGGCTTTGCTAAGAAGACAAACCTGCTGTGCCAGGTGCTGGGGCACAAGTAGCTGGGCATGGGCTCCTCTGGCACCAGGAGATGGTGCACATCCCCTCAGGTCTCCTTTCTGCATACAGATCCAGTGCTCAGAACAACAGAATGCTCAAGCTTTACTGGAGTCTTTCAATGCTAACAGAATAAAAGTATACAATTTATTTATCAAAGTCTCCTTTCAAGGAGAAGATGGATGAAATAGGTTTTAACCTACTTGTGATGCTCAGGAAAAGCAAACACTTTGATTCTCTCCTTCCCAGACAAACAGCATTGCATTAGTTGTTTCTGATTTTATTAGCTATAAACCACTCTCTATTTTTATTTTCACATGCCATTGACTTTGTTTGGTACAGACACAGCTGAACAAGGCTGGTTTTTCAAGTGCAAATCATGTTAATAGATGCCCAGTTCTTTCCACTCCACACACAGGAGCACCGCTGTAAGAAAGACGACCGATGCCAAAAAATATATTTTCCTGTTTCATTTCCTAAATCACCTCTGAGGCCACATTATCTCTTCTGAATTCCCAAATGTGGAATGGTGATGGTTGCTTTAGTACTTCTGGCATGGTCTCTTCACATAAGGAGAATTTATTTGCATGGAGAAGTGAAACAATACGAGCAGACAATGAAATCTCAAGTGGTAAAGTGTGTGAAATTCTCCATTTACTATTACTTTTTATGATGCTGTTTCCAGCTTTTCTTCACTGCTTGCAACTACAACTGATGGATCTGGAGCACAGAGTGCCTCTTATCACTGCTCTTCATCAGCAAGTGTGAGCAGCAGCAAGCAGTCAAATCGTTGCTGTATCCAAACAGCATCTCTGCATCCAGGGATGGAGCTGCAGGGAGAGCTCACTCGTTGGGAACTTGATCTGTCTAATTATGTGACTGTTGACTGGGCAACAGGCTGCACATCCAGTTGTCCCCAGTAAAAATAATTTGTCTTAAAATTTCATCTGAGTTAAAATACATCAGCTTTTTATCTCGTTACCTGTTTTGTTCCCTGTCACGGCATTTTTGAACTGGTATCAAGAGTTATTAGAAGAAAGCTCTTTTCTGTCATTAAAATACCGTGTTCAGAAAGATCTCCAGAGTCCTTAAATGCTGATGAGGGTATGAGTGGCACTCCCTGAGCAGAATTACAAGGAAGTGTTCTCACTGGAGACAGTATTCAGAGGTGGATGCTGGCAGGAGTTCAAGTGTCCACACTTGTTCTTATGGCCATGACTTCCCTGACATCTCCTGCCCATGCAGGGAGTGGTGGAGGGTCCTTTCCTTGCAAGCTCCACTGAACTCTGGTAAGAGAGCAGCTCTGGGACTGAGGAATGAGTTGTCCGTTCAGACAGAGAGAAATTAAAGAGAGAGAGCATCCTTTGGTGGTATTTGCTCTTCATTTCCTTGGCTGATCTGTAGAGGTTCCCAACAAAGCAATAGCATATAGGGTTGAGGCTGGAATTGGTGAGGCCAAGCCACTGGGCAAAAGGTCTGAGCTGCAGGATCCAAGGAGAAGGAGTCACATCCTGCAAAGATTTGGGAATGTTGAAATCAATCCAGATATCCATCAGGTAGACAGGCAGCCAAGAGACGGCGAACAGCAGGACCAGGGCCACCACCATCTGTGCCACTTTCCTGCGGATCTTCAGCCGGGAGGCCGGCAGGGACCGGTTCAGGGCAGAGCTCTCCTTCAGCTGGCTGCTGCGGCTCCACAGCCGGCGCACCGTGAGGAAGCAGATGACCATGTTGAACAGGACGGGCAGGCAGTACAGGGCACAGAAGAGCAGGAAATTGTAGGCTTGCTTGAGCCTCTCCTGAGGCCAAATCTCCCTGCAGATGGAAAACACCAGGGGCAAGCCCTCCACCACCCCGATCTCATCCCGTTTGTTCATGAAGATGAGAGGCATGCATATCCCTGAGGACAACAACCACACCAGCAGGATGGTGCTGAGGATCCTCTTCTGGGTGAAGAAAGAGCGGGCGTTGAGCGGGTTGTGCACGCTGTAGTACCGGTTCACGCTGATGACCGTCAGGCTGAGGACGCTGGCGGAGACAGAAACAGCCTGGATGAAGGGCACTGCCCGGCAGAGGAAGTCCCCGTACACCCAGGCTTTGTAGATGAGGTTGCCCACGGTGATGGGCATGCAGATGCACACCACCATGAGGTCACACACCGCCAGGTTGATGAGGAGGCTGCGGGTGGCGCTCAGGCTGGACACCCGACTCCGGCGCTTGCGGGTCAGCACCCTGATGGACATGATGTTGCCCACGAAGCCCACCACGAAGGACACCAAGTACATCACTGTGAGGCTGATGGTGACAGGCTCCTTTGCAAAGAGGAAGAGCATCTTCTCCAGCTCTTCCCACCCCAGCTCCTGGCTGCCATTCCAGAGCCCACCTTGGGTCTGGTTCTCCTCCTGCCAGAGCTGCAGAGGGTCAGGGGGAGCCCCGGGTTCTGGGGGGGACGAATCCATGGCTGAGTCCCCCCCAGACAACCTGGGCTAACGGGGCAGAGCCTTCTGCGCTGCTTCCAGTGCTCCAGGCATGGCTGGGATCAGCCCTGCAAGAGAGGATGAGGAGAAGGGGGGTCAGCAGGGGATCGGGGCAGCGATCGCCCTTCACGGGGAGCTGCCGGGCCAGCAGTGCCTTATCCTCAACTTAGTTGAGAAGCGCAGGGCGGCCGGGATGGGCAGCGTGGCACCGGCACCGGCACCGACACCGGCATCAGCACCGGCACCGGCACCGACACCGACACCGACACCGGCATCAGCACCGACACCGACACCGGCACCGGCATCAGCACCGACACCGACACCGACACCGGCACCGGCACCGGCACCGGCACCGACACCGGCACCGGCATCAGCACC